ATGGATGGATGGATGGATGATGAATGAATGAATGAATGTATGAATGAACAAAAAAACCACTGAGTTTGAAAATGTCTTAGCTAGAAATAGGCTGACTGTATTTGGTGGAAAATGTTCAACAACAAAATGCCTTTTTAAAATGTACCTCTCCTATTCAATTACCTCAGAAATGGAGCATTGTGAAAACAGCATAGACTCCGAAGTCACACAAACCTAGGGAGCTGGCTCTGTGTGACCTTGTGCAAGTGATTTAGCTACCCTAAGTCTCAGTTTCCTCATCTATAAAATTGGGTAATGTTAGGGTGCCACTTCTAGTAGGGGGAGGCCAGTGAAACAACTTCCCAAGAGGATCCATGGGTGGCATTCATTATTTTGATGAATTTACTATGGACAGGGCGTGGATCTCAGCCTAACAGAATAAAAACCACATCTTATCAGCACATGGGGAGGGAAGCCATTTCCCAGATAGAGACCTACATTAACTAAACTATAAAGGCAGATGGATAAACCAGAATGCTAACTTATGGTATAGCCAAGTAACTAGCACATTTTCTCCCTGTCTGCAACTACACTTGGGAAGTAAAACCATAGCAAGAAGATTGCTTGTGATCAGGCAAGGGGACTTGGACTGTATCATGCATGTAATGATAGACCAGCCATCAGGAAACATCTAAAAGAAAGTGCTCAGATGGTCACTGACAAGATTTGTCTCTGTCTCCTTGGATGAATTTTTTACATCTTTATTCTATTATATATTTATGTTTCTAATTTTCCTCACTTTCAATTTTTTGGAAAAAAGGTTTACTTCAGCTGTCAAGCTAAAAAGACAACAGAAAATGGTTTCTCCAAATATAATGAGTTTATTTGGGAGTAAGCAAAAAGGATCATAATTCGGAATGCACGGCTATGGCAAGCCACAGGTGCACACAGAGAGGGAAGGGAAAGCTTTTATTGGCAAATAGGAGAAGTTCGCCTAAACTGCTTGGAAACAAAGGAGTTGGCATCGGCTCATTGGTGGAGGTGCTGTCATTGGGCAAGTATCCTTTCGAGAGCATCTTATCTGAATGGCCGCAATCACAAAGCATGTCTAACATAAACTCTATTGTGCAAATATGTTCATACGTGCAAAATGAGCAAGTCATGCAAAGCATGGGAGGTGTGAAGGACATGAAGGAATTGTTTTATGGGATTTTTTTAGAAAGTCCTTGAGACAGTTCTCACCTCCCCTCCTTCAAGGTCTCCCTGCTCCAACTTTGTCTGGATCTGACAAGAGTCACTTCATTTTGGCATCTGCAACTTTCACACAGCCCCTAAAATGCTAACGATAAAGAGAACACCACCTTCCTCATCTGTAATCTGCACAGCAATTGTGAGGGTCTCTCTGCCCCTCAAATTCTGTGTCAGATGGCTTATCCCCCCAATCTCATAGCCTGTGAAAGCCCAAAGTCTATCCCAGATTTCAGCAAATCCCTGGGAGGTTTGCGTTCTCACGGATTCCTCTTCCACCTGCTTCCTCGTGGTCTCTGTCAATCCAGAGATGAATCACAGCTTCTTCACCAGTTTCAACCAAAATAAAAAACAAAGAATCCCACTGGCATGAAACATTCATGAGCAGACGTTTCTAAAGAACTCAAGCGGCAGGGAGAGGTCACAGGAAGGATTCCCATGCATCTGATACAGTGAGCTGTTTATTTTATTTTTCTCAAATTATTGTTATTTATTCAACAAGCTGTTCAAAATCCACACTAGACATTCCTATTCTTTTTTTTTTTTTTTAACTTTTTATTCAGTGGTGCTTACAAATGAATTTTTGTGTGTGTGTGTCTTTTTCGTGACTGGTAAGGGGATCGCAACCCTTGGCTTGGTGTCGTCCGCACCGCACTCAGCCAGTGAGTGCACTGGCCAGTCCTATATAGGATCCGAACCCGCGGCGGGAGCGTCGCTGCGCTCCCAGCGCTGCACTCTCCCGAGTGCGCCACGGGGTCGGCCCTTACAAATGAATTTTTAAAAAGACATTCAAAAGCACAATTCAGCAACGTACAAGCATGATTCACATTGTGCTTCATTTCACTGAGTTACATTTCATTCTGAACTGAGAGTGATGTATGATTATCTTTTTCTTTTTCTTTTTCAGACATTCCTATGCTTCTAATGTCCCTCGGACCACACTGATGCCAGGGGTTCCTGTCCTGGCCCATCCCCCGAGAGCCCCTAACCTCACCTCCTCCCCGCCTTTCCATTCTCCTCCCGTCCGTCCTCTGCTTGCTCGCTCTCTTTCTCACCCTTTCCTCTCTAAGCACCAGCCGAGTTCCTTGGTTTGCTCAGGTGCAGAGGTTCCACCCCCTCTCTGGAACTGCCTCCACAGCTGAAACCCAGACCTGAGGATTTCGCCTTCCAACACTGATCAAAGGTATTTTCCAAACAAAGACTGTTCCTCTTTAAAATGAATTTTGGGGTCATCTGTTAAGAAAATAAAAGCATTTCCTACTTGATTGGAAAGTGCCTGGGATTATAAATTCAGCAAATAAATCATCCACTCCTCTTGTACCTCTGCATTTGTGCAATACGTTGTTGATCAACAATAATTACATCCTATGTTGTTTCTGCTTCTCTGTACATTCCTATGTTGGTTGAGAGTACATCCTCAAATAAAATTCTCTGTTACCTGTATTTTCTCCATGGCTGTAGGCTTACAAAGACCCTGGTGCCAAATACTGATTCCCTAATTTACTAGCTGTGTGATGGTGTGCAAACTGCTTAGCCTCTCTGGTCTCAGTTTTTAGTCTGTAAAATGGGATGATAGATTAGATCATAGCCTTCTTGGGAGGCTAAAATTAATTCATGTAAAGTGCTTAGTACACAGTAAGGGCTTAGTAAATGTTAGCTGCTACTTTTTTTCTTTTTAGTCCTTTTCTCCTATAATAGTGTGACTTTATCAATCTAAAAGATGAGAGTTTAACCTTTGCACTTTAATAAAGACAGCCTTGAGCTAGAGACTAGATTCCACACGATATCTTGAAGTGGTAGGGTTAAGGCTCAACTTGCTAGTAGCCTGGGCCACAGAGGATGGCCAGGCACTAACTCACTCAGGGCCTGCAATCAGGAGTGGGGCATGAAGAAAATATAATCCAACCCAGAGTAGCCTAAATTGGGAGAGACACCAACTGCCCTGAGTCTAGTTCATTTCTGGGCCACAGGGTTCAGGTGTCAAGCCTGGAGGGTCCCAGGGCTGGCTAGCATCCTGATGACTCATCTCCTACTAGATCTGTCCAAGAGCTGATGTGAATCTCTCAGAGGCCCTTCAAATCTCCCTGGTTTCACAAGAGGATGGGAAAAACTGAGACACCACAGACCCTCCCAGAGAGGACAAAGGCTGCCCCTACTGTCTGCAGCCCCAAGAATAGACAGATTTCTTGATCAAGTGGCCAAAGCGGCCCATCTGGTTCAGGCTGTTGTTCTCATGGCTGTATCTGATTGCTGAATACACCTCCCACAATGACCCCCCCAGCCCCTGCTGTCTCTGCCCCTCACAGGAACCGGCTGGTTAGACTGCTTGCAACAGCCTCTGGAGGAATAGGGTTAGGAATGGAGTGGGAGAGCCAGGCAAGGATTGGGTGAAACCAGTACCTCCCAAAGCGGGCCAAGGTGAGGGGGAGGAAGAGGGAGATGAGCTGCTGGGCCAGACCCACAGGACGCATCTTGAAGGGAGAAGAGGGTGCATCTTGCTCTTTGCAGAAGACAGAGTTGCCTGGGCCTGGACACAAGGGGGCTGGGCCATGGCAGGGAGGGGTAGAGAAGATTACAGCCCATCTAAAAACTACCTAAAGGGCACATATCTCCACAAAATCTTTTGAAATCCAGTCCCTACTCACTACACAAAGACATTTTCCATTCAGCTTTTTAAAGTGTCCCTGCAGATGTGAGTTCCCTTCTGTGACTTTGGGTTCCTGCTCATTCCTGCTGCCATGGCTGTGTCTGGGTTGAGGGTGGAGGGACAGGGAGCGAGGCTGTCTGTTTTGTCTTTCCATCCCTGGGAAAGGGTCTCACTCTTTGGTGCATTTTGACCTTTGCATCAGCCATGGTCCTCTTTGCAGAACGAAGCGTGTATTTAAGGAGGAAGCAAGTCGTCAGCAGGCAGAGGTCTCAGCTCAGCCAATGGGAGTGAGCCCATGAGAAGGAGGAAGAGGAAACACTAAGAAGCAGAAAGGGTCCTGGGGACTTTATTCAGGAAACAATGACCCTGGTAACGCTACCCTTTCCAGTGGGCTCAACCCCATTGCCAGGGAGTCCAGTTTATTACCTGGAAGGACATCTAGGGCTGGAAGTCCCACCCCTCTCTCCCTTGGACCTGGGGTGTGAGGCAGAAGCCCTGCGGGCTGGGGCCTACACTGGCTTTGGGCCACCAACGCAGGTACATCAGATGGGATTCCTCCCAGAAGCCTTTGGCTTGGAGGAGGACCTAGGCTCCTAGCTGCTCTGAGTTTCACTTCTCTCCAAGGCTGTGCTACCCAGCTGCCAACAGTACCTGGGTCCCTGTTGCTTTTAAACCCCACAAATAAAGCCTAACACCCTAGTATTTATCCCAGGAAGAATCCTAGGCATCCCACCCCTCGCCCAAACCTGCCTTCCTGGGACAGGAGAATTTGGAAACGCTCCCGGGCCGGTCCCGAGGGCTCCCTCCCAGCTGAGTCTCAGCCCCTGCCGTGACAAGCCCTAGGGGAAGGTCCCCAGCGACTCGCGGGAGGTCCGGGCACGCCTGGCTGTGGGGCAATTCGGCCCTCGTCAGGCGGCCGCGGTCGCAGGAGCCGCGTGACGCGGCGGCCAGGAGGTGGGGGCGCGGAGCGGAGAGTCGCCGTGCGCTCCTGGTGCCGGGCTTTCCTGGGCGGTGGCCAGCGCAGCCGGGCCGGCGGGGGCGGGGGCGGAGGGCCGCCTTTTCCTGCCCGGGGAGGAGTGGCCGGAGCCGGGGAGGTCACTCGGCAGCTGGACTGGCTGCCGTCGCACACGCTCCGCGTCCCGGCTCCGCTCGCCTCTCTCCAGAGCGCACCCGGACGCACTGCGCACACGCGCGCCGGGGACTGAGCCCTGTCCCTCCGCAGCAGCCGAATTTGGGGGCATCTCCCCGCTGCTGCAGCCAGAAAGCCGCTCCATCCCGCATCAGAGAGGTCACATGGGCCCTGGGGTCACCTGCCCGTGCAGGGGCCACCCGCCTCGCTTCCAGGTGAGGACCTGGATCGAGCCCGTGGTGGCCTCGACCCAGGTGGCCTCCTCGCTGTACGACGCGGGGCTACTCCTCGTGGTGAAGGCGTCTTTCGGAGCGGGCGGCCTCTCCAACCACAGCGCCAGCCCGTCGCCCCGCGGGGCTCTAGAGGACCAACAGCAGAGAGCCATCTCCAATTTCTACATCATCTACAACCTGGTGGTGGGCCTGACGCCCCTGCTGTCCGCCTACGGGCTGGGCTGGCTCAGCGACCGCCACCACCGCAAGATCTCCATCTGCGTGGCGCTGCTGGGCTTCCTGCTGTCGCGCCTCGCGCTGCTGCTCAAGGTGCTGCTGGACTGGCCGGTGGAGGTGCTGTACGGGGCGGCGGCGCTGAACGGGCTGTGCGGCGGCTTCTCCGCCTTCTGGTCCGGGGTCATGGCGCTGGGATCCCTCGGCTCCTCCGAGGGCCGCCGCTCGGTGCGCCTCATCCTTATTGACCTGATCCTGGGCTTGGCGGGGTTCTGCGGGAGCATGGCCTCCGGGCATCTCTTCAAGCAGATAGCTGGGCACTCTGGGCAGGGCCTGGTGCTGACGGCCTGCAGCGTGAGCTGTGCCACTTTTGCCCTTTTCTACAGCCTCTTTGTGCTGAAGGTCCCAGAGTTGGCGGCCAAGCCCGGCAAGGAGCTCCCCACCGTGGATAGCGTGTCCGGCACGGTGGGCACATATCGCAATCTGGATCCTGATCAGTTAGACAAGCAGAGTGTAGTGGGGCAACCTCCATCCCCGGGGAAAGCAAAGCCCCCCAAATCCATCATTGCCCTGCTCTTTGTAGGGGCCATCATATATGACCTGGCAGTGGTGGGCACAGTGGATGTGATGCCCCTTTTTGTGCTGCGGGAGCCTCTCAGTTGGAACCAAGTGCAGGTGGGCTACGGGATGGCTGCAGGGTACACCATCTTCATCACCAGCTTCCTGGGCGTCCTGGTCTTCTCCCGCTGCTTCCGGGACACCACCATGATCATGATTGGCATGGTCTCCTTTGGATCAGGAGCCCTCCTCTTGGCATTTGTGAAAGAGACATACATGTTCTACATTGGTGAGTCTGGCATTCTTGGGGAGGCACAACTTTGCTGGTCCCCTGTGTCAGGGATGTTGTGGTCTAGGTGTCCCAGCTCAGCACCTGGGATTGAACATGCTACCTAGGAGGTACAAGGGAGACAGGAGTATGTACAGTGAATTTATCTGTATTGTACTGTGTATTATCTGTATTGTTGGTTGAAATGTTACCAGAATGGGGACTGTGGCTCGAGGAGGTGAGATCAGTGGAGCCTGGAGTCAGGAGGGGAGGCTTCAGGATAGCCTTGAATGGGGAAACAAGGTTAGGTTTCTTCTCCTCAATTTTAAAGGGATAAAACATTAAGTAATCCAGCTAAAATCCCTTAATTAAAATCACTTTGGACCAACCAAGGGCTTTTTTAAAAATGCATAACAATTCTCAATAAATGCCTTTTGCAACCAACTTAATAAATTCCCTCAAGGAAGCAGAATGAAGTTTCCGTCTGGGGACACAGGTCAGACAACCACAAAGCAGAGAGCTCCAATAGAACTTTCTACAAGGTTGGAAATGGTCTATGTCTATTCTATCAGATACAGTAGCCACTAGCCACATGTGGCTATTGAGCACTTGAAATGCGGCTAGTGGGCCGGCCTGGTGGCGCACTCGGTAGAGTGCGGCACTTGGGAGCGCAGCGGCGCTCCCGCCGAGGGTTCGGATCCCATATAGAGACTGGTCCGCTCACTGGTTGAGCGCGGTGCGGGCGCAACACCGAGGGTTGCGATCCCGTTGCCGGTCGTGGTATGGGTGCGACACTGAGGGTTGCGATCCCGTTACCGGTCACGAAAAAAGACAAAAAGGATAAAAAAAAGAAAGAAATGCAGCTAGTGCAACTAAAGAACAGAACTTTAAATTTTATTTCATTTTGATTAATTTAAATGGCCACATGTGCCTAGTGGCTAATATATCAGAACAACTCCAGACAGTTACCAGAGGCTGTCTTTGGTCCAGGTCACACAGCTCAGAAAAACACCTAACAAAATGGCAAGATTACCTCTGGACAGTTACCAATGAAACAGGCCACGTGCAAAGTCCAGAGTGCCCATCACCCCTTCCCTTTCCACCACCTCTACCCACCTCTCTCTGCCCCATCCTCCCCCTCCCACCCCTCCACCCCCCGCATCTGGATACTCAATGTGTTAGTGGGATGCATTTCTGGAGACAGTTTGCCAAAGCTCCTAGGATGGTCTCCTGAAGACAGACACTTCTCTCTTGGGGAGGCAAAGGGAGGGGCCTTGCTTCACTTGGGTGGCACCAGTTCCACTTCCCTAGAAAACACTTAACTCTGCGAACAGAGACGTCCTTCACCATATGTCACCATGCCAACTGTGCCCTGCCACCTCGCAGATTGGCATGCAGCACATACAGCTCAGAGAATTAGTCTGGTGCAGGGAGGGTGCTAGTCTGCCATCAGAGAAATTACTGCTTCCCGGTCAAGCCACGCACAGCCTGTGGGGAGGGGGAGTCTAAGTGAGGCTTTTGCTTTATTCTCATTTCCTCCTTGGTCAAGGCTGGGCTACAGTGAGGAGTGTTCTTGTATGATCTCTTTACAGCTCGAGCCGTCATGCTGTTTGCCCTCATACCCATCACAACCATCCGATCAGCCATGTCCAAACTCATAAAAGGTTCCTCTTATGGTGAGTGGAAGGAATCTCTCCAGGATTTCTGCCCTGGTTGGTTAACAGCTGCTCAACGTGAGGCACAGACCTGCAGAAGGCACATGAGAGAGTTCCAGAAGCATCCTCCAATACACTAGGAGCACACACTGGTTTCCATCCAGGTCAGAGGGGGTGAAAACAAGAGAATGGGAAAGACTGAGAAATTCAGTCACTGAAAAGCCACAGCCACAGAAAGACACCATCATCTACAGGCCTCAGGAAGATCCAGCTAGATGAAGGCAGAATTCCTAGTGAATTTAGTCATAAAGACTGACAGGGAGTCCTTGGAAGATCAAGGGGTCCCCTAAAAGCTTCCCAGAGACTCAGCTAGTGGGAATAAGAAAAGAACAGCAGTATTATTTTGGTAACCTCTGTCCCCTCCACAGGAAAGGTGTTCGTCATACTGCAGCTGTCCCTGACTCTGACTGGGGTGGTGACATCCACGTTGTATAACAAGATATATCAGCTCACCATGGACCAGTTCGTGGGCACCTGCTTTGCCCTCTCCTCCTTTCTCTCCTTCCTGGCCATCGTCCCAATTGGGTAAGCCTGTAATAGTGTCTACTGTTTGCACTGGGGCCCTGGTGCTTAGGTCAAGGAATGTTGGGCCATCTCTAGCCCACCATTGTAGGATTATTTATTTTCAGCATTTATGCAGTGGCTTCTGAGGAGGCTCTGTCACAAAGAAAAAGTCCCCCTGCTCTCCCAAGCTAATAATCTGGCGATTTGGGAATTCCCCAAAATCGCAAGTAATGAACAGAGGGCTCTAACCAGCTGGCTCACTTCCTGGCAGTTTTGTAATGACAATTTATTTATAGGAGCTTCATGTAGTTCCTTATAATCGGAGGCTAGGATTAGAAACCCTCTTGAACCATTCAGACCTCTTTTGTTTAGCTTCCTTTACATGAGAGTCCTCCTACCATACTTAAGAGACTATTTCTTCTCTGTGCCCTCCAAGGGCTGTGTGCTCAGTACCACCAGAGTCTCCTGGCTACTGGACTGCGTGAGCTCCCCTCCAGGGCCTCAGGCAATTCCCTTGACATCTCTGGGGGAGTTGTCTCATTTGTAAGAGTGCTCAAGTCTGGGAGATAACAGGCTAGTGAAGCAAAGGAGAGGCACCCTGGTCCCGTGGCAAGAGCACTAGCCTAAGGCATCAACAAAATGGAAAGAGAGCATGGAACAGTTTTGTCTATGGCCAGCCCTGTCCAATAGAAATACAGTACAAGCCACGTATGCAAGCCATATGTGTGATTTTAAATTTTCTAGTAGCCAAAATATAAAAGTGATGGGTGAAATTAATTTTAATAACTTGTTTGATACCCAAAGTATCATCTCAACATGTAATCAATTTATAAAATTATACTCAATGATATATACATTTTTTAAAACTAAGTCTTTGAAATGTGGTGTGTATTTTATGCTTATAGTACATTTGAATTTGGACTAATTGCATTTCAAGTGTTCAGTAGCCCCATGTGGCTAGTGGTTCCCATATTAGACAGCACAGCTTTAGACTATTAGGCTCTTTTACCCCTTCCCCTGAAGTGAATGTCTCTCATGCTTGTATCGGTGCTGCCAGAAGAAAAAGGAATATATATATCCACAGCATAACTATATTAAGTATAGATTTGCATTTTAAAGGGACCTGCCTGGTATCACATGAGAGAGATACATATCACTAATGGTGGCATTACAGGCAGCAGAATAGAAAATAATTGAGGGCAGGTTGGAAGGGACAGGAAGTGGATGGTAATAAAGCCCTTTTTTGGAACTCTTACATCACATCATAATATAGGTCCCTGCCTACATAGAATGTTGAGCCTCCTGGGACAGGAGCCATCATTAAGGCTCTTTGCTTTATTTCATAGTTGAAAAAATAAAATAGGAAGATGAAACAGCTGAGAGAATTTGTACAAGCAGCAGGCATGACTAGCTCATTTCCCGAGGTCTGGGGCTGAACCAGATCTGTCCTCAAACTGTCCAACCCTTAGGGCTTTTCATGTGCACCTGTTTTCTTGTGAGTCGTGGATGAAACGGGTTGGACTGACTTGGCGAGAGCTAGCATGCAATGCAAACTTCTCAGGAGTCCCAGCTCTTTGGCCAAGTGAGTAATAGATGGGTAGTTTTGCCCACTTAAAAATTATCCAGTCCTATTTCATTGGCAGTTTGAAATAGTCTCCTTAACCTAAACAAAAACCAATAAACAACCAAATATAACAAGCCTTACTAGTTAATGTGTGTCATAAAGACATAAATAAATGAAAATGAGAAAATTCAATAATTGGTTGCTTTCTACAGTTTCATCTCCTTTGTGTGCTAAGTAGGATGCTTTGCCTTCACTGAAACTTTAGGGCACACGAAGCAGGTATCCTGCCCGTGACATCTCACCCCAATGTACTGTATAACATGCACTTGAACTCAGTCATATATTCCAAGCGGGAATCTTAATTAGTGGTATAGGGTCTTTGTAATCTTATATCAGAGAGGAAGGGGAAAAATCTTGAAAAAATCAAGTAAGCAATTGACTGAGTGCTTATGCAAATTAGGCGCTTAAGTAATTGCTAATTGTTCCCTACATTTAGTAGTACGGAGACATATTTGTAAACAAAGCCAAGTTCTCTGTACAATGGGATCACCAGGAAAGGTTTCAAAATTACTGCTTGTCAGGATTCCACCCCCAGAAATTCTGACTCAGTTGATCTGGGGAGCAGCCTGGGCATAGGAATTTTTAAAAGCTTTCCAGACTTTCTGAATGTACAACCAAGATTGAGAACCTCTGCTATAAAGGGAGTATTTCCATTAACTCTCCCTTTCACAAAGTCTTTTAAGTAAATAAGATTCTCACAAATTCTTATAGCTAGAAGAGACCAAGGCAGTACCATTAATAAATTGAAAATTACCCTAGCATCAATAACTGAGGTCAGCTAAATTCCCAGGTCCCTGGGAGGTCAGCATGTAGCAGTAGTCACATCCCCACATGCTGGAACACTGCTAAACAGTTCACTTTGGGCCTAGACCCAAACATATAAATTAACCTGAAGAGTGTTGAAACAGACGGTGTGACTATAAGTGGGCATGGTGATACTTGTGGGTTTAGCATTTGTTCAAAGAGCAAGATGTAACCATTAACCTGTCACTAACTCATGCCATGCTGGACAACCAATGTAAAGCCTGATTAAGGGGTTGGTCCCTGTCCTTTCCTTCTGCCTCCCCTTTTTGTGATTATAAAAATACTGAAGCTCTGTTTGTAACCTCGGAGCACTTCTCAGGGTAGCTTGGAGGTATCTTCCGGGGCTGCAGTCACTCATATTGGCTCAAATAAACTCTTTGTTGTTTAAGCCATGCCTCAGTTTCCCTCCTTGGGTCAACACATTAATCATTAAGTGAGAGCAACAGGAAAGACCAGTAGAGCTTTCTAACCACAGAAAGAAAAGCTACATTCCAATGAGATAAACACCCAGAAGGCATGTCAGAGCAGAAGAGAACTTGAAGGGCAGAAGCTTGGACCAGGTCACAGTCTGCATCCTCCCCCTTGATGCCAGGGAGGTCCCTTGGTCAGAGCTGCAAACAGCCTATTTGCAGTCCCCAGGGGCAGTAAATACCCCTCTTCCTGGTACCAAAGTGAGCAGATATCATGCTAGTGTGAGAACCTGCCCTCTCCTGCTCGCTCTTTACATACAATAGGGAGATGCTGTGGAAATAATTGTGTGGTTCTGCCCATCAGCAACCCTCTCCCCCAACCCCTTCCGATATACACACTCAGCTAATGCCTCGTGCTTCCTAGAGAAATTAGAAGCCATCAGAAGAGAATGATCTCATCTTCTCCAATCTACAAACCTACATTCATTTACATCCATCTTATTCTTCTACCTTCTTAAAAATGATAATAATAGCAAACACCTCAATAGCCCTTACTGTGTGCCAGGCACTGGTTTAAATATTTTATATATTTTAACTAATTTAATCTTCCCCAACAATCCTCTGTGGTGATGACTATTATTATCCCCATTTTGCAGATGAGGAAACAGAGTCTCAGAGGTATTAGGTAACTTGCTGAAGGATACACAGCTAGTAAATGTCAGAGACAGGATTTGAAACCAGGCAGTCTCTCTTATCCACCCCCTGACATTGCTTCTCAGGAAAGTCGCCTGCCATTTGGGTGCCGCCTCTCCCACCTAACTTAGAGAGCTCGCTCCACTGCTCGACGACTCTCTCTCCTGAACTCTTCCTACCAGGACTGACACATGATCTAGCACCCTCTCTCCTACTTCTCATAGCCAAGGTCTCCAAAGGCTGTCTCACTTCCTCACCTCCCATTCACTTTTCAAACCACTGCAGTCTCATTTCCCCCTCTCAGCTCCACTGGAGCTGCTCTCACCAAGGCCACCAATGACTTCTTCGTAGCTGAATCAGTGGACACGCTCCAGTCCTTATGTCACTTATTTCTCAGCAGCCCCAAATGCCATTGACCACTCTTTCCTCAGGAGTATTAGTCACTTGGCTTTTATAACAAGTCGCTCTCCTGGCTTTTTTCCTGCCTCTCTGATTGCTTCTTCTCTGTAAACCTCCAAATATAGGGATTCTTTGGGGTTCTGCTCTGGGCTTGATATTCTCACTTGATATTCTCTAAGCAATCTGAAGTATGTCCACAACTTTAAATTACCATTTAAACATCCAAAATTGGCTTCTTGATGCCCTCCTAAACCTACTCTCACTCCAGTCTTTCCCATCTCATTAAACGGCACGACCATCCACCCAGGGTAGAAACCTGACAGTCTCCAGTATCCTCCGTCTTCTTCGTCTCCACCCATCTCCAATCCATCAGGCCTCACTGACTCTACCTCCAAAATGTGCATCAAACTCATCCTTTTATTTTTACCTCTACTGCTACTACCCCTAGTCCAAAGCCTCTGGACAACTGAGTTAGCCTCTGCACCGTATCCCCACATCCACTCCTGTTCCCTTCCCATCCTCTCTCCACCAGGTGGCCACAGCAATTTCCTTAAAGTGTAAATCAGATCATGTCATCTGCTCAAAGCTCTGGCTTTCATTGCTCTTAAGATAAAATCCAAACGTCTCAACATGGACCACAAGGTCCTGCATAATCTGGCCTTGCCAACCTCTCCAGCCTCCTGTTCCTGCACCAACCACCCTCCCCCACCATTTATGCTTCAGCCACAGTAGCCTCCTCTCCTGCTTTCCCCCTTCCTCAGCCACATCTTTTCCTTAACCCAACTAGTCACTGTCTTAACTTAGACACCATTTTCTCAGATAGGATTTTCCTAACCCTTCTTGATCTAAATTAGATCCTTCCAGTATATGCTCCCAGAGCTTCCTATATTTTTGCTCATAGCATGGCAGTTGATGATTAGTGATTGTCTGTTTGATACGCTTGCCCCCTAGACTGTCAGCTCCCTGAGGAGAGAGACCATGGCTCTTTGGCTCACCATGTATCCTGTGCCCAGCAGAGAGGCTAGCATATAAAGTCCTCAGAAAGCTCTTGTTTAATGAATGAATGCTTTGTGAAAAACGTGTGACACCACAGACCACCCACACATCCCAGAGCTGCCTGTTGGCTGCCCAGGGAGTCAGGAGTTGGCCATCCACACGCAGCTGTGCTGCAGCATTCACAGTAGGGTTCATTCTGGAGTCAGGGTTGCAAGCTGAGTACACGTGGGCCTGTGCCAGCTGCCTCCAGGTCTTAGCTCTCCACTTGCCAGCCTTGTAATACAATGAGTTTTCTTTTAAGTACAGTAAGTGCCCCTCCTGTGGGGCCTGGAGACTCACAGAAGGTGGGAAATCAGAGCGTTAGGAAGTTGCTACAAACCTTTTCCTTAGTAGACTTGCGATTTAAGCTCCAGGTGTTGTGCATCCATCAAGAAGAGCTGTACTCTAGCTTAGAAGCTGAGGTTCCTAGAGTTCAAACAGATGGGAAGGCCACAGGCCGCAGAGGTTGAAGGACATGCCAAAGGTCACACAGATCCAAGACTTCAGTTCAGAGCTCCTATATGCTATGCATTCATTTATTTACAAATATTTCTAAACAATGTAATGGTGATTTATGGGAGAGAGAAAGGGGCTATGGGAAGGCAGGTGAGGCAGCTGATGTTGCTTGGGATTAGCCAGGGCTAATCTTGATCTTGAGATACACATGGGAGTTCACCATCAGGCAGAAGTGAGATGGAAACGGATTCCAAGAAAAGGAAATCGGAGATGCAAAGGGCTCATGATATTATGGGAAAGAGGAAGAAGTTCATCCTCACGGAACTGGAAGGAAGCCGGAGTGAGAGAAGTTCCCTTGGGCCCTCTCCACTCAGCGTGGCATTCTGCTGCCGGGACGGCTGTGGCCTCAGTCTATCAGTGATAAGGTGGCTAGAGACCTCCCTGACGTACACATTGGTGGGGAGGAAAAGGCCACCCTTTGCCCATCCCAGTTGTTCTCTTTTAACTCTCTATTGTGAATTCTTACAGCATCGTGGCCTATAAACAAGTCCCATGGTTGCAATATGGAGACATCACAGAGAGATGAAGGCGCTGACCTATGGGAGTTGAAAACACCAGCAATGGCCGGACCCCCTTGAAGACAAAAGAAGGGACTGGGGAACTGGTGACCAAAGCAACCCACTGCCCAAGAAACCCAAGTTCCAGCCAGAGTTGGCCTCAGAATGACCTGCTCTGGCTCAGGGGTCCCTGGTGGGTGGGGAAAAGCACTTTCCTGGTGATGGAAGAACTTTCTCAGCTTTCAAACTCCCTGTTAGGCGGAGGTTAGGTTCTGCGGGCAGCAGGGCGTGAGCTCTCAAGGGTTACAGGCACGTGGTGGCTCAGCCGTCCGTGCGCTCTGAGGGACTTCCCACTCCTGCTGCCACCAGCCAGCCCCCTGTCTTCCCGGGATTGTCGTGAGGGCTCCAAGATACGGCTGATGAGTCACCTGGGTGCTGTGCCTGAAGTCCCATGGGAGAACTCCACCAAGGGCTTGCACTGTCAACAGCCTCAGGGGAATGTGTGGAAGGGATGTTGTGTAAGAACTGCCAACAGTTTTGCATGAACAGTATCTTTAAAATTAAAACAAAACCTTGAAAGAAAGTTAGCTTTCTTCCCTGAGGCCTTGTTAGCTGTGGACACTCAGGAGAGCAGGGGAGCTCAGGCCCTTGGCTTCAGGGTAGTGTTGTCCTTGCTGCTTTTAAGAAGCAAATACCAAAGACTTTCTTCAGTGGAATATTCAATTGAATACTTTCAGTCAATGCTTCCCGAAGGGGGTGGTGTGAGGGGAGAGGAAATACGCTAAAGCCCCTTTATATTGAGGTACTTATTTTTATAGCCTATTTTACTGACATATATAAAAGCAGATTCAACTCCTAATAAAATCAACATTCATAGTATGTATGTGTGTGACTCCTTCTTTTCAGGTCAGATTCCACTATAACTACAGAAAAAGCTAGTTTGAATCTCAGGGCATTTGGGCTCACAGTTTGTATCTCTAATCCTCTTGCAGGGAATGAACAAAATTTGATGGCACATCTACTAAGGTCCCAGCACCACGGTAGGTGCCAAGATACAGTGAGAACAAGATATGACTGTTCCGACCCTGGCAAAGCACATTGTCTAACACATGGAGCAGACAGGACAGCAGGCGGTGAAGTTTCCTATAGTAAACACTAACATAAGGGAGCATATTACTCATGTTTGGGAGAGCAGGCTTCCCAGAAGTGACATCTATGTGAAGACTGGAAGGCTAAGTAGGAGTTACCGATGCCAGATGTTGGGGAACATTCCAGGCAGAAGGAACAACACGTTGGCAGGCCTGGAGGTGAAGATATGGGACTTCAATGTGAAGGGAGCAAAGAAGGAGGGAGGGACAGGTATCAAAGGAGGAGCGATAGAGACATGAGGCTGGAACAGGAAGGAGGGACAACGTAAAACAGCCTTTCAAAAGAAAAAAAAAGCGTTGGAGTAATGAGGATAGCTGTTGGAAGATTTTAAGCAGGAACACGGTACACCTACAGTTGCATCTTAGAAAGAGCACTCTGGCAGCACTGAGGAGAATGAATAGGTGGAAGCAGGAATGAGCAAGACCTGCAGCAAAGAGACCAGCTAGAGACCCTCGCAGTGAACCGTGTGAAGGCTGATGGTGACACACTGGGGGAAGTAGCTATGAGCATGAAGCAAGGTGAACGGACGTGGAGAAACATTTGGGAGCTGGAGGTCAGTAGGAGTTGGCCACAGGTGGACTGTAGAGGGTGAGGCAGATGACAGTAAGAAAGACTCAGATGTGGAGTTCAGGCAGCTGGGGAGAAGGCAGAGCCCCTCACGGAGACAGGCAGCACGAGCGGAGCAGGTGGGATGGGAAGGTGAGCTCACGAAAGGCCACACCTGACTCTCCAAACTCACCAATATGCTCTCGCCTTGCCCTCCACCCCAACCCCTGCCTAGCTCCCCAACCTGAACAAATCTAACCACTGGCTTCTCCATTCCTGCCCCTGAAGTGTTTGCTCTTAACGTTTAAAGAAATTTATTTGTCCACCTTGACCCTGCTATAAACTTGTGGGTTTTAGGCTGAGCTGCGCTCACGAAGTCCAAGTTGAAAAGCTCCTTTTCAACCCCACCTGTCACCAGGTTAGCAGTTTCAAACATTTTCAGCTCTCCTGGGCTACCGTTTCTTCTAATAGATGGTCTTAACCTATGGTTCTTGGACCAGCAGCACCAGCATGACCTGGCAATCTGTCAGAAATGCACATTCTGGGGCCCCTCCCAAATCAAACTCCAGGAGTGGGGCCCATCAAATGGTGTTTACACAAGCCCTCAAGAATCACCATTCTAACCTATGGGGCCTGACTTTTTCTCCTTAAGAACTTTCCCTGAGTCCTCCTCCTCCTCTCCCTGCATCCTTAATGCTTGAGGCCCCAAAGTCCCTGTCCTTGATTCTCTTCCCAAGTAATCTGATCTACTCCCACGGACTCTGAACTCTACTTCGAACAGTCATCAACATCTCCACCTGGATTTCCTAAAACATAAATCCAAACCAAATTCTTCTTCCCCCACACTACCACCTAAGCCTACCCATCTTTTATATTTCTCTCCTGACTGATTTCAGTTAATGGCATCACCCCCAGCTCCCAGGCTGGCAATCTCCAAGTCTTCTCTGAGCCTCTCCCCTCACCACGGAAGTCTCTTAAATCCAGCTGCTCATTTGCACCTCCCTCTGTCCCTTCTTGCCGCAATTTTTTCAAACTGTTCCTATCTATTCCCCAGGCCTTCGGTCTGACCAGCATCCTATCTCCATCATCTTCTTTAGAATAGGAAAAAACATATATCCCGCTTTAAAAAACAAACAAACAAACAAAAAGTTGGCAAAGCATTCAGAAAGGATTGTTATGGGAATATCCTTAATTATTTAAATTGGCCATATTTAAACAATAGCAAGAGTCTTTCCATAAGGGCTATCAAATAGTGAGTACCCACCAGACACCTGGCTGGTTCATACACATTGTTGCTAGTCCTAGCAGCTGCCCTATGGGGAAGGCTTGTCTTCATTTCAAAGATCATAATTCTCAACGTTCAAAGAGCTGTGACTTGCCTAAAGCCACATAGCTAGGAAAAGCTGAGATTTGATCCCAAATCTCTCTCGTATTCCACCTTGCTTCCTCACTTTATATGATCGCAGTCTTAGATTAATGATGTCTACCACCAGTAAGCCAAGCTCAGCACCACTTAAAGTCCACTTGAGTCCAATGCACTGCCAGCATCAGCTAAACCTAACTGAGCACTCTGGCCTCTAATTTGCAACACACTCTAATAAACCACAGATATTTCTTCCTTACAAATTCTTTGAAAATCATAGCAGGCCAAAACGTCAGGAATGACTAGCCCTGACCCAGGTTGTGCTTGGTCATGGGATGGCACAGGAAGAAATCTTTCATGTAATACCTGGGCTGGCTGTCAGCCTGCCTACCGACCGTGACGGTTATTCCAATACGTAGTTTCTTTATCTCTCTAAATTGCTGCCGACCTGCAAGACGTAGGACAGGGTACATTGAGGATGGGTCTATAAAGAAGTGAAGAAGAATAAAAATAGTACATATATATATAAGAAATATGTATTTCCTGTTTCTCTGTATATCCTGATTCTTGCAGGCCAACTGATGTGTGTTCACAGAAAATAAGAAAACAGAAAAAGAGGCACGCATGTTTTCCAATTCATAAAAAGGTATAAATGAGAACATGACTCAAAGTAAAGAAAGCATCTTTTATAGGTTTATTGGTCCGTTACTTTAAGTTAATTGAGGTAAAGAAACTTTTTAAAATTTACAAGCTAATAGTTTATCAAGCAATACAAATTCTCTTGTTTACCTCCAAATGTAATACTAATCCCATAGTAAACAACAAACAGAATTTTTTATACACAGATATGTGAGAAAACGTGGACAAAAACCTCATGCCTGCATCAAAAATTCAACAACTTTTCTCCCCCCATTTTACAATCTCTGGGTTCCATAACAAGAAAAGGTGACATTCCTTTCAAAGTTTGGTAGCTTCATGAAACAAGGACTTGATCTGTAAATCATTTTCTTATCAACACATTCAAGCAATTTTTTTTCACAGCTTCTGTTTTGGCTTCATGGCAGCATAGAGAAATGATTAACATGTACAGGAGGACTTTATTGGTAAGTACCTCAGAAGGTTTTTTCCTTTAAAATTTTAAACATAAAGAATGATTTCTAAAAATAAGAAATATGGTCCATAATTCGGACATGTCCTAAGCAAAAATTTTTTCTCTTCTTTAACAATTAAAATGCACATTAGAAAGTTCGCTGGCAGTTTATTTCATGGGAATATGTCAGATGCACATCATCTCTCGATGCGTTCCCAGCTCACAGAGATGCAGGGAACCGGCACCCAGAAATACAATGGACAGGGAATCGAGGGCACAGGACCGAACCTCGGGATGTCCAGGTGAACGGTACTGACTGTTCAGAGACGCTGGTTAGTCGATGACGGCGCAGCTCACACAAGCACCGCTTCATCACGCTGATTCGCGGTGTTGCTTGCAACCTACTTGCCCCTCTCCCCATTTGTACATTGAGGAAAAAAGCAATTTTCCTTTGCTTCCTCCAGTATCATTTCTGACTGAAGGGTTGGCCTAAGACTGTGAACAAGCCTGTCCACCAGGGTGTTGGCAGCTGTCACCTGCTGTGACCCAGCCTACGGGCAGCCCCGATTCACCCAATGACAGGGCGGTGCTCCTGAGAAAGGAGCAGGCACAACTCTTCGTCACTGGGTTTAATAGTAAAAGCTCTGCTTGACAGACTAAATTGCATGAGTCAACAGAATGTGTTTCGTGTTTTTGGCATTTCAACCTGTGGAGAATTTCTGTCTGAAACATGCTGCTCTGAGGCCCCCACGGTATGTTAAAAAGCTGTTCTGCAGAATCAGGGTAAACCTTTAGTATCGTCATATTAGAGAGTTCTTTGTATCTACATGATTTGTCGATGCTGATACCATATGTTCTGCAATCAAAAGTATGCCAAAAGGCACTAAATTAATCTTTCACACTAAAACAAACAAACGAAAAGGTTTGTGGTCCCTGTGTTTCCTTATATTATCAAAAATAGCATTTGGCAATAGCGATACTTAGTTTTCTCTTCCCCCAAGGCAACCTTAATTATGACCCTCACTTTCTTGTGTTTCTTTAAGAGGACTGAGGACTATGTTAGAGCTCTATTATTTAAGCTGAACAACTGATTACATTTGTAAAACTCTTTCTACCCAGAATTCTAAAAACACTAGTTGAAGAATAAGGCATATTAGTGGGTGTTGACAAATTCTCAAAGAGTAGAGTTAGGCTTTAACAGTCTGTGGCATTTTAAAATTCTGGATTTGTTGATTTTCAAGTGCTAAATACACAGAATATTTATATACGAGACAAATATCATATTGGTTTGTTATTTTTTTAAAGCACTTATGTACAGACTACCTACAGTAGTTAAAACTACCTGGATAACATTTTCCTGCCACATTTTCTAACCCACAGAAAGGGTTAGACAGTCATGCCCAGGACGCATTTTAAACACATACCATGAAGAAAGAACAGTCAACCCCTCCCCGGCAACAAAGCCCCACCCCCCATCCTTTTCTAATGCAGACAGACCGTGCACACGCTCTGATACATGCAGCCGGGGAGAGACCAGACATCCTTAAAACAAAGAGCTGACAACCTACAAGGTGGGTTGGTGAAAAATAGGATTTCTGGGTTATTCAGTGAATTAAAAAACCACAATGAAGAGAAGAACAACTCCAACACACCCAGGTCAATCTGTAAGTTTGGCTCAGGAGAGAACGTTTTCTTCAAATTTGCTGATCAATGCACCTGCCATCTGAATAGAGAAAACATAAGAAATGAGAGGGCATGTCCCATCTGTTGCCATCTGAGGACTTCTGAAAGAGAGAAGGCAGATCCAAATTCCCAACCTCATTTTGTAAATAAGCATGGCCAAAGCTGTTTATCCCAGCCATATAATTAGATTACCCAGTTTCCACAGGCCCTTAAAGTAGGCGTCTGGCAGGGCGGGGTCCGGTTTGGTGTGCCCCGTCTTCTGAGAGGACCCACCCTTTAGGGCAGTCAGCAAGCTCACCTAGCCAGAGTTCTAACCCATCCCAAGAACAGTTGAGGCCAACACAGCCCTCGGAGGCAGCTCTCTCTCAACCCTGCTCTTCCTTCTCACCAGCCCAGGATGGAGTGTAAAGAATGACTCCTCTGCCAGCCAATGAATGGTGTCAAAGCAGAGCCAGGTGCCTGAGACTTCAATGCTGTCAACGGCAGGACCAAGTCACAAAAACTCTGGGTGTTTCGAGGGCCGCTGTCCCAAGAGAGGAACTTCACTTGCAGACAACCACATGGCAATCATGCCCTCCTCCAACGCAGAACTCCCTGTCCTTCCCTCACAAAAGGCAGCCTCACAAGTGACTGGCGGGTGCTCGTTTCATGTGCTCAAGTGGAGTGGTGACTGAAAAAACACATTCAACTCCACCACATCTAGAACGCACTCGGGGTGGGGCTGAAAGGAGACTTGACTTACATTCACAATGGTCCCCAGAGTCATGCTGGTGTTTTGTTATTTCAGCTACAGAAAGGTGTCCGGTGAGTTGAATGAGCAGCATGGTGACCTACCAAGCCAGCTACCTCCATAATCATATTTAAGTTCACCAGGAAACATTATGAAGCCTTATTAAAGGATAAACCCAACCCCAAACCTGGCCGGGGAGTATCATTTAGGAGCAGTGGTTCCTTGCTTAGAGCAGAGTAGCCTAGAATCTTCTTGTAGATTCACCACCTTGAAAAGGAAAAGCAGTGTCCATACCTGCTGCAAGTCACAGCTGCTCTCTGAAACATCATTTGCATCTCTAAAAGCTGCTCACTTTCTAGGAACTCTGTCTTCTGTCTTAGCCTGGATTTTTAACCTGGGTAAATGAAAACTTTTCCCTTCCCAGCCTGGGGCAGTTGCTAGGGACACTTTCCATTTCACTGCCATGTGCTCAAGCCTCAAAACCTGTCTGTCTGCCCAAGGTAAAGTGTACCCTCAAAAGCAAAACTCATGGAAAATAAATATGAGGCAGGAGCCAGTGATCTCAGGACCACAATTTTGTGAAACCAAGAGGGACAGGGTGATGAAGCCTCTATGAGGCAGTCTTTGGCACAGACTTCTCTGCATAACACTTCTCATAGGGAATCTCCTTCGTGCTTAGTCAAGATGAATAGGCAAATGCTTGGGACTGCTGATCCTCAGGGAGCTGTGGGATGGGGTGGGCTGGACAGCCTCATTTACTGTCTGCTGTCCCCTTCCTTCTGGGCCAGCCTCCTCCCCTCATCAGATGCCAGCCTGAAGACAGGGACAAGAGTCCCTGCTCTGGAAGGACCATTTCTCCAAGGGAGTTTGTATCATACACTGGTTTTCTTGACTCTGCTATCAATAGCATGCCTGGAGGACAGGAAGTTTGCTGGTTCCAGCTCTATCACCTTAAAGCACAGGATATCACATGAGGACCAAGCAGAATGAAGACAAAATCCCAAGGTGCCTGAATCCCTTCAGAGCCACGCTTCAGCCTCCCATAATGACAGGGAATAACTGTGCACCCCACTCCCCTCCCCCCAGTGAGGGACCTGATGACTTTTCTGAAGTGCGGCCTTCTTTCCCAAGTAACCATCACACAGGAATATTTCCGAGCTTTGGCAACTAGCAGGAAGTCAGAGTCTAGCTTTCCTGTAACTCTTTCGGCAGTCCTTTTCAAGCATTCATTACACTGGACATTTTTAAAGCACACATCGCACAAGGCGAAACTCCACATGTTCCCAAAGATAAGCATTTGCTGCTGGGTCAGTCTGGTGTCTTCTGCCAAATAGCAATAGAGGGCTGTCAACTTGCTGTTAGATATGCACCCCGATTCCACCAGCACACCGTCAGGTCGGACCCAGACATCCACACTCACACCAGCATGATGGTTTAGAGGTAGAATGAAAAGCTGAATCACCTCTCGGGGGGAGATGGACCCTTACCCTTCCACTTCAATAAATCACCTCTAATTGTACCAAACAAAATTCATATCAAAGGATTTTAGAGTGGCATGGATGGGGTTTAACAGTACACGCAAGTACCGATTGATGTAAAAATTATCATTTAAATTGCAACTTTGTCAAACACGAAGAAACAGAACCAAACTGCTCTGTGCTGTCCAACTGTGGCCCCCAACAGCATCACAGCTGTGGCAAGGTCAACTCTGCAGTTAGAAGCGGAATGAAGTGATGTCAACCTGTTGTGTGCTGACCGGTGTTTGCAGGTTAACTTGCTCATGAAAGCACTGTCTTAGCACAGCTGTTTCATTTAAAAAACAAACAAAAAAAACTACCATTTATTTGAGGCTCAGATTTATAGTTTTATAGAGATGAGCCATGACATATGTAGCTTCATTTCAGGAGGGGGAAAAAAGGAGTTGGACGATAGATCCTTTTTGTCTGCTTGTTTGGTGTTAATTTGAACAGGAAACCTGGTAATAGTTTGAAATGAAGACTTTAGATGCAGCCAGCAGTCCCCAGGAATTGGCTGTAAATTGGGGAGATTTTAACTTAGCTAGAAGCAGAGTTTGCTGTTAGTTATACTTGTCAACTTCGAGGCCCGTGCAGGTAGTGACTTTTCTTCCTGACCAGGAAATGTTGAGGGTTAAAGCACTTTATGTAGAACATTCACATTAAGTTTACAAATTTTGACTGTGTCAAAACAATACGACATACCAGCCCTCTCACCAAAAGCTTGCCCAAACATTCAGTGGACATAGTAGGAAATATGAAACTAGGTATTTTTGGTGAGGTGAAGGCAAGTTGCACAAAGCAGACACTGGAAGCGGGGCTTGGTATATGGCACTGATCTCAACAACAGGGAGCTACTTTGACTTGAAGACAACAGATATTCCCTAATGGGCCTAATCCCTACTCTGATGACAATTAACAAGCAAAAGAAAAACATTGAAGAACTTCACAGAGAAAAATGCACCTTTTTTCATTTTACACAAAAAGTTTCCAATCTATTGCATCCCGGTGTCAGAAACAAGTTCGAGGAGCATGTCCCTCAGCTTCCGGAGGCATCCCATGAGGACAGGGATGCTGGCTTGCTCGCTCAGCCATGGATGCATATAGACACTGATTTAAATGGGCCCACACAAACCAGAAACAAGAGGACAGGTCCCACTCATCACAAGCAGGTAGCAGGCCACACTCACAGCTACAGGCCACTGTACATTAAGGACTTTGCACAGAGGTGCCAACACCTCCCTCAAGGCTGAGACAAGTGAACGCCCACAGAGGTCCATTCCAGAGCCATCATGTCTCCACGGAAAGACACAGCAGCCTTTCATTCATGCCTCCTTTGTGTCCTTGAAAAGCAGGACCCAGGTTCTCTCCCCAAACAGGCAACTCAGCTGTCCCAAAAGAGGCGACCGTCATGAGATGTCAGAATGTCAACAGGGGGTTGTCTCGTTCCTCAGTCTCAAAATCTTCATAGTGCTCCATTCATTCGGTTCCGTCTCAACACGGAGGTGTGCGTCTTTTGCTGAGAGATGATTACAGCCTCACAGAATCCACCAAGGAATAAATACTCATTGAAAACAACTGTGGGACAGGTGTAGGGGCAGGGAAAGATACACAAAGGAGAGATGTTTCTGTGGCTCTTTTCCCAGCGCCGCCTCACTGGCACTGCAGGGACATGCCGGTATGGGGTGCCATGCCCTGTGTAGGTAGAAGAGTCTCTGTCCCAAGAAGGAACTTACTTGTTCTCTTGTTTCTCCTGCAGTAGTGGAATAATCGACTCCCACGCCATGAGGCACTGAAATGACAACATGCACAAATGGTATCAGCATCGAGTTTCAGATTTCAGGGACAGCTTCTTAATTCAGATCTGCCCTTTCATTGTCAATCCTGCTGGGTCACCTTTGTCTAATGACACCTATATGCATCATCCATAACTATTATAAACAGGGGAGATAACAGGTATTTGTTTTCAATGTGTCACTCCCATATTTATGGAAGACAGCAGTGTCTCTACAAGGCTTAAATGCATTCATTTTAGTCCATAAAGCTCACATCCAGGGAGTGGAAATGGATGCACTGAAAGAAATTCTTTTCCTTGAAAAAAACAGAAAAGAGACAGGCAGGAAGCCCTTGCTGAGCCCGAGGTTCTCAGCATGGATGGAGCCCCTGTTCTAGGTGGGGGTGGTGCTTGCATAACAGCATGAGTCATCACTGGAATGGGCCAGCTACCTGACTCAGAGGGGGTGGAAAACCCGCTCTTCTCCACCAACCTCAGATTTGCTTGCTTGGACCACTCCCAGATTTCCTAAAAGGGTAAAGGGGGGTAAGGGGGGTAAGGGGGCCCAACATTTATTGAGATTTATCAGATACAAACACTGTTACACATTTTACATGCATTATCACCAGTCTTCACAACAACTCTATGAAGTAGAATTATTATTTATTACACACATATACACCCATTTCATTGATGGGGAAAATGAAGGCTAAGGTTAAATAAATGGCCCAAGGCACACACCTCGTAAGTGGCAGAACTCATGAGTCCTGTACTGAGGTTCTTTCCTCTACACCAATCTCTTTTCTTTGGCCAAGAACTTAGACTGTCCTCCGAGAGTACTCTGCTTAGCAGAAATGATCCTCCCTTTGAGCAATCTCTTGCATAAAGAGAAGGACAGATGAATCTCACTAAGCCTTTCTTAGAAGCAGCCCAGGGGTGAGGAAGGACTTTGTGCTGAGTCATTTGGGGAGGAGTTCTGAGGTGGGAGGAGAAAGGCTTCCTCAGGTCAAGGTGGGAAAAGTGGTGAAATTGCTCCCTGATTTCTTCCTTGGTGACTCTAAGGTTAGAGAACAAGCTACACGTGGGAGCCTGCCCTGGATAAGGAAGGCTGAGGAGCCTCAAGGAGCGTGCTTTCAGTGAGGAACCCAGTGTAAGGGCCGTGGCATTCTGGATCTTACTCTCTTCCTAGGCCATCACCCCAGATTGGAAGGGTCCTTCTACGTCAGCCATGAGGAACTGAAGCTGTACCAACTTTCTGTTCGGTCTTCAGTTGCACCAAGCTCTTTACTACCTCAGGAACCTTGAATATGAGGGATTGATTTGTATTATCTTTTAATTCCATTTTCCCATAAAGATTCTGAAGTGTCCTTGTATGTTGTTCCCTTGCCTGGAACTTTGTCTCTGAGACTCAGATTCAATGTAACTTCCTTAGATTGGCTGTTCCTGCCCACTCCCCCTGTCCCCTTCTACCCCTAGTCTGCATTATGCCCCCTAGCAATTTCTCCCACAGTTTCCTGTTCTTTTCCTTATGGCACTCTGAAGCTGTGGGATTCTTTAACACACATTCTCCACTAGGTTGAGCATCCCTCAAGGGCAGGAATCCTGCTGTTTGTCAGTGTATACACAGTCCCTTGCACACAGCAGGTACACAGAAAGCATTTGTTAAGTATATGCAGGAGCTAAAAGTAGGCCCCAAGACAATGACTCTTTGGTGGTATAGTGGGAAGACTACAGAACATACACATAAAACCTGGGTTTGAGTCCTGGGACAAGGGCTTTCAGAATGCTGGCACTAGTCACCTAGAAGAGGGATGGAGACATTTGATCTAGTTGGTTTTGGAGCAGTGGGAAGGCTGTTGAACAGCAGAGGTAAGGTGAGGGGGAAAAGGCAGAAGTAACATTTACAGAGGACCTACTATGTGCCAGGTATGTTCTAGGTTCTCACTCATACATTATTTCATTGTATCTTCACAATCCTTCAGTGGAGAAGGATCACAACCATTTTACAGATGAAGAAACCAGAGATGCAGAGAAGCACCTTGCCTAAAGGTACAATCAGTAGAGGAATGAAGTCTTGGCTTCACATGGCATAATCTTTCCACCTTTGGGTAGGCAGGACAGTTCCCAAGGACATGTGGCCCTGTCCCAAAGGCTGAGAGTATGTGGGAACTGTTCAGACTAATGGACCCATCAGAGCCAACCCCAAGGCTGGTTGAGTCACTCGCAAGCTGTGTAACCTTGGGCAGAATTTTAAAACCTTGCTGAGCCTCAGTTTCTTCAGCTTTAAATTGAGAATCATGAAACCCACTTGACAGTGTTATGATAAGGGCTAAATTTAATGAGATGATACATGCAAAGCGTCCAGGCCAGAGCCAGCTCAGAATCAGAACAGGGGCTCCAGAAAATCAGTAGTGAGAAAAGAGGCATGCCACCTTTCTCCTTCTCTTTAAAATAGTCTTTTCCTAAGACCTGATATGTAAGGGCTGTTCTGTGGCTATTTCCTTAACCCTCCTCCACATGAACTTGAATAGGTGCAGACACACTATCTCTGAACAGCAGCCAAAACCATCAGAACCTTCCAAAAGGATGGATTCCTCTAGTTTGAGATCAGGACATGTTTCTAGAATTGTGGCATGAGTACTGGAGTTAATATGTGTCCAATATAGTGACAGGGTGTCATGTGCCCAACAGCTTGATTTCAAGTCTACAAGTTACTTGCTGAATTGTGATTGGGCCATTCGTCATCTATAACTTTAAAGTTTTTATAGAATATCAGGATTCATGAGTAGAAAATATCTACAATGGGATAAACTATAGTCAAACCTTGATTGAGGAGACTGGGCTGTAACTCGATGAGAGTCATCCATGTGTGTGAGTGTGTGTGTATGCACTCACACATGTGCGTGTGTCAGGGGTGCATAACCTGAGGTCCACAGATCCATGGGATTCATGAATAACATGGATTTAACAGAATTAATAACATGTTTTTAACAGAATTGCTCTCCTTTGTAATCCTACATACCTTTGTTTCAGGTATTTAAAAAGAGTATTTTAAAGTCTATTTAAAAAAGAAATCAACAGTATTTTGATAAGAGGTCTATGCGCTTCACCAGATGACCACAGGGTCCATAGCACCATGAAAGTAAAGAACCCCTGCATGTACAGCTACAAGACATTGTAAAGTAACCCCCAAACCTCCATTAACCGGGGACTGCCCTACGCTGAAGGTGACTGACTCTGGGGAGCAGTGAGGTGCCAAGCCCAAAGTGCATGCCTATCAGCAGTGTGTGCAAGGGGAGCCCCTGTGAGTACCGGGGGCCTCTGCTTCCAAACGCAGCACCGTAGCCAGGACATCTGGGCAGGAGCATGCAGGGGAGCTAAGACTAAGCAGATAAAACAAGGAAAGGACCTGGGAATAGCAGGACCCCCTCTTCTGCACGTCCGGCAGGCCCGTTCGACATGCTCCGGCTATCAGAAACTCTAGTCTTGCCGGGCACATTCATTACCTTCTCATAATACTGGATGTTCTTGTCAGCCATCCCCATGAGCAGCTGCCGGAAGTCCTGCCTCTTGTTGTTCTGCCACCTCTCCATGTCAGCTTTCAGATCAGCATTGAAACATTCCATCCGATCCTGACATTTCTCCACGTCTGTTGGCACCTGGAAGTGGAAGGCATACATGGCTGCTTTGTACGTGTGACTAGCATCTCCTGCCTCGAGCTCCTCTGCTTGCACGTTTGTAAGAGGAGAAGGTACAGGCTGAGCATCCCTAATCTGAAAAGCTGAAATCCAAAATGCTTCAAAATCGGAAAGTTTTTGAGCACCAACGTGACACTCAAAGGAAATGTTCACTGGAGCATTTTGGATTTGGGGATTAGGGATACTCAACCTGTATGTATTCTGCAAATATTCCAAAATCCAAGGTCAAGGGTTTGTATCCCTGTACTGGCCAGCTGCCAAAAAAGAAGCAAGCAAGCAAACAAAATCTGAAATCCAAAACACTTTTGGTCTCAAGCATTTTTGAAAAGGAATACTCAACCTGTACTATATTAAAATGCCATCAACACACTCCCTCCTCTGGAGGCACTTATTTGAAACCAGAGCCTTGGGTTTTCAGGTCTAAGGAGGAGTTCTGTAAAGGGGCTATCCTAACCCAAATCTTCAAACACATCTAAGCACAACTGACACTCATGGGGGAAACACTCCCTCTACCCCGCCATTTATAAACAGGAAGAAGAAATACTGCAATTCAGAGTCATATGTCTTTAGTTCCTTTTAGGACTTACCCATTCATACTTAAAAACATGGGCAGATTTTGCAAATATACAGCGGTATTCGGTATTGCCCTGCTATTCTCCTGTGTCCCACCCATACTGGAACTAGAAGCAAGTAGGTTTCTCCAGATCACAAGGACCATCCCATTCCTTGTGACATTTGATAATGCCTTTCCTCATTAATAAGAGAATTAATTGGCTTTGTCCTCTGAATTCCACATTACAATAAACTAGAGACTTGTTTATGCTCCTCTAGATAGCAGATAATCAAAAATGAAGAATTAGGTCAGTCTGAGAAAACGGGAGGAAAATTATTTATGTGTGCCAAAAGAATCTGAAATACAAAGAAGAAAAATATAGCAGGCTAGTTAGAGTTTTTCTCAAAGAGGTTTAGAAGACTTTCTCAAAAGGGAACTAAGTCAATTGAATTTCACAACTTTCCGTTATTTTGGTGAGTTTCACTCATCCTACACAGCTAGAGAGGGCCTCCTTGTCACAGCAGTGCCCCAAGCACAAAGGTGGCTTCTCACTCCTAATTCAGGTGTTCCTCTGGGCTCTGATGGTGGCCAGGGGTCAATATGCCCAAACCTGTGTCAAATGTCCACCTCCCAAATACTTCCCAACAACAAATGAGGCCTAGGAACCCAAATGTCTCCAAGCTGTGGGTCTCCATCAGGAGTCAATCTTGACCAACCAGAGTAGTTTTTTATTCAAGCCTTATGGGCAAGGAACTGACTGAGAATGACTCTGGTACAGCAAGGCCAGGCCTGATGGAGCCAGACACTTTCAGGACCTGGACCCTCTGCCACACAGACCATGTGGAGATGGGTGTAGAACACGGGGGAAGGGGAGTAACACACAGCCAAGACAGGGGGACTCCAAAGTGTCTGGCATGAGAACTAAGCTTGGGTGAGACAAGGATGATCTGCAGAGAAAGACGTAACTAGATATCCTAGGCAACTTAAAGAAAGGAACTTTTCTGTTAAGAGAGAAGCAGCAGCCTTCTTCAAAGCACTTAAGCTTCTGGAAGAGAAAAAAAAAAGACTCACTTTTTTTTCTGATGCCATGACTAAAGTCACTTAGGCGTTTCCCTGCAGATTCACCCACTACTCAGGGGAACCTGAAATAAAAATGAGAGTGCCCTGGCTTTGCTCTCTAGAGCCACGCCCCACAGATGTCCAGTCAAGCAGCCTGGGAGTCTCGGGGCCGGCCTCACCTCCCTGCAGGCACAGTCCTGGCCACTGCGCATCTTAGCCTCCGGGTGGAAATGCCTACTGGCAACCTGCTGTTTGCTTAACCAAACTGCTGCTGGTAGGAGGAAAAGTGAAGTTCTCAAAAAGGAACCCCACTGAGGCACAGTGAGAAGAGGAAGGCTGGCGCCTCCAAGTCAAAGGATTTCTTATCGAGGGAGGATTCCTGTGTTCTGTTCTGGGGGTGGGAACTCTGGCTGACTCACAAAAATTAAGAGTCAAAACTATACGTCTGGATTTTATGACTGCCTGAGTCTCCATCTGGAAAGTAATTAGCTTACTTTTCACAACACATCCCGTGCTTGGCACTGAAGAACACGCAAGTGCTTAGACCTCCACAGGCAACTCTTGTCTCCCGTTGCCCACGGTCTCGCTGGGAAGAAAAAGGAAACATGCCTAGACATTCAGGTGAGATGTTACAAGTGCTTTCTCTTCACCCTGAGCCCCTGTGACAAGAACCCTGTGATAAGGAGCTAGACAGGGAGTCCTACCGGGTGAAGGACCAGGCTTCCTTGAGGAAATGGCACTGAGGCAACTCTTTAAAGATGACAGAAGTGGGACATGTGATGATGGAAGAGAGGGCACTCTGAGTGACAGCACATGCAAATGACAGCAGTGAGAAGACATCTGCACCCACCTGGGGACAGCTCACAGGCTATGCGGTAGTGCTCACAGAGGCCTAGTGAGAGAACTCGGGCTGACAAGATTGGGGGCTCTGATGAGAAGCCTGGGACTCTTCTGGAAGGACAGGTTGTCTGAGGCCCATTTAAGTCATGCACCCTTTTGGGGCACAGAAAAAGTCTCAAGCTTTCTCTAGCTGTAGCAGACAGCTCTAGAGCCAAACTCCCAGTGTTTGAATACCACGTCCATCACTTACTAGGTGACTTTAGGCCTCTCTATGCCTCAGCTTCTTTTTCTGTATAATACTATTCACCTTATAAGGATGGGGTTCAATGACATAACACAGGTAAAGCACTTGGTGCCTGCCATACATTAAGCACTCAATAAATGTTTGTTAGTTCGTATCAGTACCAATATTGTAAATGGCTGTTCACGAAAGATCATCTATCATTTGCACAGCTCCTTGAGTCAAAATATTTTATTGAGCTTTACTCCATGTTTTATGGAAACGGTTTCTTTTTCATTTTCCAAATATAATTATATTATTAAATATGTTCTTTCAGACTTTACAGCACCCATTGCCCATGTTATCCCATCCTGAGGCTTCACCAGACTTCAGAGACGAGTCAACTCCAAACTATATTTTGGCATGAGATCACACTGGGCACTCGAACCAGGGTGGTGGCTGCAACACCACAAGGGAGAAGATGCATTAAACCAACGTGGTGCAGACAGAAGTGACAGATCTGGCAACCAACTGCTCATGAGAAATGAGATTCAGGGAGTCAGAGAGGTGCCTGAAGTTTCTCATCTGGGTGACTGGGGTGGCAAAGGGCTCAGGATAAAGGACAGGTCCACAGACCAGAGAAAGGAGGGACTTGCAGTCACCAGAAGGACAAAACCTCCCTCCACAAAGGAGCCTGAGACAACTCAACCAAAACAGCCCAATTAAGAAATGGGCAAAAGACTTGAAAAGACATTTCTCCAAAAATGATATACAAATGGCCAACAAGGACATGAAAAGATGCTCAACATCACTAACCATTAGGGAAATGCAAATAAAAACTACAGTGAGATACCACCACACACCCATTAGGATGGCTACTACCAAAAAAGAAAATAACGAGTGTTGGCAAGAACATAGGGAAACTGGAACGCTTGTGCACTGTCGGTGGGCATGTAAAACAGTGCAGCTGCTACAGGAAACAGAATGGAGGTTTCTCCAAAAATTAAATATGGAATTACCATGTGATCTTGCAGGATATACATATACACCACTTCTGGGTATATATCAAAAGAATTGAAGACAGTGTCTCAAAGAGATATTTGTACACCCTTGTTCATAGCAGCAATATTCCCAATAGCCAAAAGGTGGAAGCAACCCAAGTGTCCATCAATGGACAAACAGATAAGCAAAATGTGGTATAGACACACAGTGGGATATTATTCAGCCTTAAAAAGGAAGGAGATTCTGACACATACTACAACATGGATGAACCCTGAGGACACTATACTAAGTGAAATAAGCCAGTCACACAAAAAAAGACAACTGCTGTATGATTCCACTCATGAGGAACCTAGAGTAGTCAAATCATAGAAACAGAAAGTAGAACGGCGGTTTCCAGGGGGAGGGAGGAATGGAGGGTTGTTTAGTGGATATGGGGTTTCAATTCCGTGTGATGAAAAGAATTCTGGAGGTTGACCGCACAACAATGTGAATGTATTTAACGCTACTGAACTGCACACTTAAAAACGATTAAGATAGCAAATTTTATGTTAGGTTTATTTTACCACAGTTAAAATTTTTTCAGAATACATGGCAGGGGGAAGGGAGACAAGGGGCCAAAGAGCAGAGAGCCTAAGGGTAGAAGGCTTAGAGAAGCCTCCATTTATAGGGTTCATAAGGGCCTCAGCAAAGGCCATGAAGAAGGTGAGCACAGAAGTAGCAGGAGGTGCATCAGAGAGAACAGAGCCGGAGGAGGCCAGGGACTGAGGGAGTTGCAGAGGGAAGGGGGAGGGATTAAAAGGAAGAGACTCGGCGGGGCTGGGGTGAGCTGTCTACAGCAGCCAGCTTGTGCAGCTGCCCAGCGCGAGGAAGACGACGGCTGCTGGCAGTGGGTGCTCGGGCCCGCGCTCTTCTCACTTTTGCTTCTATTTGGATAGTGTCTTTGTGGCCCTCAATTCACTGACCAGTAACATCCAGCATTCCCTCTTATCTCACTGTCCTCATTTTTGTGACTGGGGTATTGTTGGAGTTGTGCGACCTTGAGTGAGAAGGATGCAGAGACGGCAATATCCAGGGCTGGTGGTCGGGTGTTGCTTATCACAAGATACCAAGAAGAAAAAGAAACACCAGATGAGACCTCAAAAGATAAAAACTTCTACACAGAGGACACAACTGCATTTTTCGCATTGGTTCCTCTCTCTCTTGTGAGAATTTCCATTATATAATACAGGTTGTTGCAGTGATGGGACAAGAGTCACGTGGAATGGGATCGTGTGTTTTGAGCTGGAT